TCTTTCCCCCCCCAAAATCAGTCCCCACAAGACTAGGATGCATGTCTTAAGCAGGGAAGCTGACTTTCGGCCAAGGATTGGAAGCACCCTGGTGCAGCAGCTGTAATATCACTGTTCAAGTAGCTGAGGGAGTCAATTGTCATAATGGCTCAGCGCTCTTCACTCGAGGCATTCACAATCATCTCTCCTAGGGCAATTTTGCTATCTGCCAGCTGCTCCTGGTCTCTCCCAGTTTCACAGCCTCTTTAGCTGTTTAACACAGCCTCTTCAGCTCTTTTCAGAATTATAGATCCACCCATGGCGAACCACTCTTCAGCAGTATCTAGGGATTCAGCTTTAAGTTATGCTAGAAAGGGAAGGCGATTCAGCTGAAGTTAGGCTCTGTCCCTGCTCTATGCAAACACGACTCTGGAAAAATCATTTCTTTTCACTCTGTCTTTCGAAAAGGAGGAGTAGCTTATATTTGGGGCTGTGTTGTATGTGAGAAAACATGGTGATATTAAATAACTTTAGTAATAATTGTCAGGTACTCGTATTAGATGCTCTACATATCCTCACTCTGAAATCCGCCAGCTCCAGGACAGCTCCTTTCTTTATGTGAGCAGTCCATTTGAACTCAGTTACTGTGCCTTGATGTAAGTGAAGAAAACATCATCACCACCCATTTACACATACTATTTATATGGCATCTCTGCTTCCTTTACTTACCAACTCGTCCTGACAAATAATATGTTCCTGTCGAGATCAGCAGTGCTTCTAATTTACCTACCACACAGTTATGCTCGTGTGTTACCTTTTCCTGAAGAAGTAAACCCACGGTATTAATTCTTGAGAATGGAACTCCGCTTGCTCCAGCGTGACTGTTTCCTGGTATGCTTGTCAAAACTAATAATTAAAAAAGATGAAATTATAATAGGAGGGATTTTTGGCCTTTACAATAACATAGAGTGAAGCTGTTCCAAGTATGATTAATTCATCTTTATCTATTTAGTTTATCTACAAGCTTTCTAAACTAACGATCATTTCCATATTTCTTAATTTTATCCAAGCCACCACAAAAAAGAAAACAAAAAAATACGTACTAAAACAACACTCATTGACACAAATGCACGGCATCACCAGTGAAGAATAATATAGTTTTAAAATGTGAAAAATTTGCCAAGCTGAGGAGTAGGTATAATGACTGCAGGTTTTTCTGAATATGCGGCATTATTTAACTATGCATATCTCAGCTATAATGCAATGACATATGGGGTATGAATAACTATGACTATGTTAACTATAACATTGTGATTTACAGCATATGGATCACTTTGGCCCTAATTCTGGTAAACATTTAAGCACAAGTTTCAATCCATCCCTATTCCTGAAAGCGCTTACACATGTATTAACTAAGCAAGTATTTAAGTCCAATTAACTGCAGTAGAACTTAACTTTAAGTTATGCACATGCTTAAGTGCAGTCTTCAGTCACAGCCTTGATGTTGGGCTAACATAATTGCAGCACTTTAGTGTCTGCAACATTTAGGACCATTTCAATTTGGGGACTTGCCATTTTTCTAATTTTGCATATTACATACAAAAAAACCCCCAAGAAAAAGAAAAACCAACATCAGATTTATACCTTGCTGTAGTGCAGGGGCCAGCAATCTTTTAGGAGTGGCAGGCCAAATTAGCACAGCTTGCTCCGAAGGTGAGCTGCTGCCCCTTTCCCTGCTGTGCTTTTGACCCGGTCAGCTCCTTCTCTGCCACTGAACTCATGTCACCACTGATAGTCTAGGTTTGCAGGTCAGATGGAATTGCTTAGTGAGTCAGGTCTAACTTGCAAGCCATTTTGCTGACCCCTGCAACAGTACATTAGAGATGCTACAAAATCCCTATTACAGAACAGCACAAAATCTTGCTGGCAGGTCGGTTTATGTTGGCCAACCTTAGTTAAAACTTTAGATTCAGCTTCTTCAGTTGTTGTTGGAATTACAACTCCAGAAACCTGCTGTGGCTATGACTGTGAGACTGTCTTGTTCCAAGGACAAAGGAAATATATGCAAGATATGACTCCATATTTAACTTTCTCAAAGTGAAAAGAGCTGATAACCACAGAACAAAATGGGGTGGGAGGTAGTGGAAGGTTATTCCAACCAACAGATTATAGTTGTTGAGTGAATCGCCAAAGAAAAATACTGCATGTAGTATAATTGTGCAAGTTCCATCCTCACATACAAAAGCCAGAGATAATTTCACGCCAGGTAGCTGAGGCAATGAATATTTCTCATTGCTAAAGCAAACAGCAGAACTGTACTATGGACCTATTTCAATACCCGCTGGAAACAATGCCAAGTCTTCTGCTGACTTCAGAGGACACTAGGTCAGGTCTGCACGCTTAATTCACTTATCATTTATTAATATAAACCAACACATCTCCACTAAGGTTAGTAGAATTACATCCCCGAGAAACTGGTTTGAGAGAAGAATTGGTCCCAGTCCCAGACTCTATTTCAATTCTATTACCACCAGGGATAAAAGAAAAATATATCATTTTGTATGGAAGCCTTTGTCAGCTTTACTGTCATACAGAAGAGCTAATGAAAGCACAAGAAATACCTTGTCTGGCTGCCGGAGGCCTATTGAATGCATCTGGAGAGCAAGAAGATGTGATCATTCTGCCCCGAGCACTTACAGGCCGTTTTCTGACAGGCGGACAGGGTGCAGTGCCATTTGCTCCGTGCACACAAGTGTTGTGAACACCAGCTGATTGCTGAGACTGGAGGGAAGGAAGCTGAGAAGGACTGGTTGAAGGGGTATAAAGTTTTGTCTCCGCAACGAACTGTAGTTGCCCGGACCATGCTGTACGACGTTTCAGTGATGGATAGGACATCTACATGGGGTAAGAGAATGCAGTATTATACAGAGAGCAAAATAAAATACTTCAGAAGAATAATTCCAATCAACGTATTTTATGTTGCAATTTTCAACTTTGACTTTTGGTTTTCATCACGCTGCACCCACTCCTTGTAGCTTCCCCAAGTTGTTCTACAGCCTTGTCCAGTGTTAGCTAACCTAAATCATTGGGTCATCTGCCAAATTTGTCAGATCTTTGTTCAGCTAATACACTGCAGCTTTATCCAGAGTGCATGACCCAGGAATCTCTCTCAGCAGTCACCCACGTTTCCAAGCAAAGGTTAATTTTACTCATCTAAACCGTGCATGAATATTTAGAATTAATACCGATGTTCCTCAGGCATTCAGACATAAACTGGTACCTTATACCATAGTGGAAAGCAAACTCTAATCAACGGGGCAATCCGCATGCTTAAAGTTTGGCATGTTTTGAAGTACTTGGCTAGATTAGGTCATGGCTTCCTTAATAAATGTTGTGCAAGACTTTGCCATGGGCTTCATCAAAATACCTACTAGTTTTCCTTTAGTTTTCATATTATTGAAAAGATTCAAGAATTCTAGCTGTTACAAAGACGTGTGTTTCTTTTGTTTGAACAGGGCTGGGTTGTATCAGTCACTTCAAGGTTCAGGATCCTTCTAGGGAATCTTCTGAAGCAAAGCTGCCTGCAGGACACGTGACTTGAGATCAGATGTATGCAGCCTGATAGCCCTCCATTGCAAATAAATGACATAGGGTAGAGGCAAGCAGTCCTTAAGAATGATGGACAATCAGATCCAAGACTTAAAAAGTGGCCTATGTTTCAGTGAGCGTGGTTGAAACGCAATGAAAACAGCTCACGTGGTTTTGGCAGTATTCATCCTACCATAGATCCGATTTCTAGGTCAGTATTAAACCAGAACCCACCCTTAATCCTGATGTAGCTCACTTCTAGAAAAGAAGGGATGTATGGCAAAGGAACAGCTGCACTCGCAATTAGTAACCATGTTGTTTAAAACATCTCTTGCTACAGGATACGACCCAGAATTTTGCAGGGGAAGTGTGATGCTTTTACCCGCTGCACGGCCCATGAAATCAAGCGTTGCCATCAACACACATCTTGCCACACAAAGGGCGGACCATGCATCTCTTCCGGAAGTCTCACGAGTTTGTAGCAAAGGTTAGTACTGCTCCCTGTACTTTAGTAGTCCTTCTATTATTATGCGTTAACATTATGCTTCTTGCGCAAAGAACCGC